CAAATTAGTTCGGGCGCCCATCGTAAATCGACAGTTGCGCCGATACCCTCAACCTCGAGGCCGGGGGTTTGTGGATTCACACGGGGTTCCACGGGTTTTCGTAGCCTTTTTCCCTCTTCTTGATTATGAGCCTTATCGCTATCTACATAACTATCTTTCTTTCTTTCTCTCTATCTCTCTCTCTTTTCATATCTCTCTCTGTGGTAAACTCGTACCCAAATGTGCTTACCCTATATGAGTCCTAGCTCAAACCTTCCTAATTGCTCCATTGCCCCCCCCTAATTCCTATCCCCCCCCTAATTCCTATGGCTATGCCTATGCCAATGCCTATCCCGCCCTTCTTTTCCAATGCCCCCACTTATGTATGTATGCTTGCTTGCCTGCTAGTGTTCTTGCTTGCTTGCGCGCTTGCCCGCTTGTTTGCTTTCTTGCTTGCGTTCTTGCTTGCTTGCTTGCTTGCGCGCTTGCTTGCACGCTTGCTTGCTTGCTGAGTTGCGAATTACAAGCATGCTCGATTCCTCTGATTCCTTGCTTTGAGCCGTCTAGTCGATTTGGAGTCAACGCTGGCTGATATAGCATGATTTTGTTAGCCTCTGCATTTTAGAGCTTGCAGAAGGTTTCGATTGGACAGCATCACAAGACGATTCCGTTAGAAAGCCGATTGAGGGCTTTTATTCCAAAGCAACACAACCTAATCTTTTTGGAAAGCACAGCAAGGATATTCTACGGCCTCGCAACAGGAATCCGCTGGAAAGCATTACCAAGGGATTATGTCGGAAAGCCTCACAATCGGAGCCGTTTGAAAAGCACTGCTGGGGGCATCTCTTCAAAAACATCACAAGAGGAATCGTCTGGAGAGCGCGACAAAAAGAATGCATTGGAAAGCCTCAGGCCAGGAATCCTTTGGAAAGCACCACGCAGAGATTCGATTGGAAAGCCTCGCGCTCGGAACTCTGTGCGAAGTGCTACACAAGGGCTCCGGCGGATGGCCTCACAATAGGGATCTTTTGGAAAGCGCTACAAACACATTTTGTGAGACACGATCATATGTGGAATCGGTTGGAAAGCGTTCCAGAGGGACCCTGTGGGGAAAACCTGACAACGTGAATCCAGTGGAAAGGGATCTAAAAGGTTACTCCGGAAGTCCTCACAGCAGAGACCGTTTAGACATCACAAAAACGGGTTGTATCGGAGCGCGCACAACAGGAATCTTTCGGAAAACAACCCACATGGAACTGTTAGAAAAAAAAGATCAGATCGGAAAACATCGTAGATGAACCCGTTCAGAAAGCATTGCTGAACGAGCTTCTATTGGGAAGCATCACGCGAGGAACCGTTTGAAAAGCACAGCGAAATTATTCGATTGGTCAGCCCCGCGCTTGGAACATTGCGAAATGCGACGCAGAGATTCCATCGCATGGCCTCACAACAGGGATCCGTTGGACAGCGCTGTAAAACAACACGCGGTCTGAGAAGCAATCATACTTGCAAGTCTTTTGGAAGCGCACCAGAAGGATTCTGTGGGAACACGCAATTGGCACCCTTTGGAAAGGGGTTGTACAGGTTTTATCGGACGGCCTCGCAATAGAGATCCTTTGGACAGCGCAACAATGAGGATTCGATCGGAGCGCGTCGCAACAGGATTCCTGTGTGAAGCAGAACGAACGCTGTCTACTGGAAAGCATCACAAGAGGACTCCTTTGGAAAACGCTACGGCGGGCTCCACTTGGAATGCCTCACAACAGGAATTCTTTGGAAAGAACCGCGCAGGGTTTCTATTGAATTGGAATCGCCACTACGCAGCTCCTACTGGAAAGCCGGACAAATCGAGTCCGTTGAAAAGCACCACAGACGGATTCGATTGGAAAGCTTCACACCATAAAACCTGTTTGAAGGCACCGTTGGGGGGTCCAATTGGAACGCCGAACAAACAGGAATCCATCGGAAAACACCACATAGGGTCTCAATTGGGAAGCCTCACGACAGGAATATGTTGGATAGCGTCGCAGAGGGATTCGATGGGAAAGCCTCACGACATGATTCTTTGAGGAAGCACCACACAGAGATTCTACGGGAGAGCCTCGCAACAAGGATCCTTGGGAACGCACCGCAGGAATTCGACGGTAAATTCTCACAGCGGGAATCCTTGGGAACGCGCCGCAAAGGGGTTCTATAGGAAAACGTCTCAACAGGAATCCGGTGGAAATCACCACGAAGAGATTCTACTCGGAAGCATCACGCAAGGAATCCATTGGAAAACACCACACAGAGATTATACTGGAAAGCCTCAGAACAAGAATCCTTTGGAAAACACCACACAGAAATTCTATTGGAATGCCTCACAACAGGAATCCTTTGCAAAGCACCGCAACGACAATCTATTGGAAACTGTCACTGGGATTTCTTTTGGAAGGCGCAATTAATGGGATTCTGGTGCAAATCCTCACAACAGGAATCTTTGGACAGCGACGCAAAGGGGATTCGATTGGAAAGCCTCACAACAGGAATCCTTTGGAAGACACCACAATTGGATTCTATGGGATACTCGCACACTGGGAATCCAGTGGGAAGCACCACGAATGACTTCGTTCTCCATCCCACCCCGCCCCCCACCCCAAATAGAAACAATAATTAACAAAAACGGCGGCTGGTCATCCATTATTTTTTTGGGTTCCTTTCCCGTCTTCTCGGGGGGGGAGAGACACAAAAAAGCGCTGCTTCCTTCGGGGAGGAGGAGGAGGAGGAGGAGGAGGAGGAGGAGGAGTGGAAGAGGAAGTGAGGAAGAGGAAGAAGGGGAAGGGCTCGCGGAGCGTGCGCACGCGCTCGCGCGATCTCAGCGTGAAAGCCTTGCTCGCGCGCCTTCGACCCCCTGTGACTCCACAGTCCCCCGTTCTCTTAACTTTCCTATCATCCGAAGGTCGGTTTATGAGGCATCCGTCATTGAAATCGGTCGGTGTCGAGACTAGCCGCACCTCGCGCACCCTGCTTGCGCGCCGGTGTTTTTTGTTCGCCTTGTGCCAGAAGGCCTGTGTCCAGTGGTCCAGGACCAAACATACATCCTGCACATTTGTAGTCCCACTCGCAAGCTTCTGTGTTGTCCCCTCCTGTGCTCGCGGACGTCGGGACCATGTATGTTTCTATTGTTGTTCAATGTTTTCAATATGGTCGGGTTTTCAGTCTTACGAGCGTCCACCGGCCCCAAATGACACGGCGAGGGCTCCCAGCTGGCCTTGAGATTGCCCAGGAGGGGCCCGAAGCAGCCGCAGAGTGCCACGGGACCTCGAAGGCCCCCAGACAGCCTAAAGGAGCAATAAGGCAGCCCAAAAGGGACCCACAACAGCCCAAGAGAGCCTAGGAGGCCCCAAAGAAGGCCCAAGAGGCTCCGCGAGAGCACCAGGAGGACGCTGTTCTTGACGCCCCCGACAGGGACGGCGGCCAAATTCCCCCTCATTTGTTTCCCATGTAATTCATACCCTTCTTTGGTCATGTCATGATTTGTTTCGCTCCTCCCTGCGTGCGCACCCTTGGTCAACCCACCAGAGCAGTGCAGCAGTAGGCGAGTGCGTTTCTGCCATGAGACCGTATTTCAGCTTGGCACGCAACTGACATGTCGACCAGTGGCTGACGCGCGTTAGGCGCGTCGTCACAATAATATCGAAAGCGCTCGCATCGATATAACCCGTTCTGGCCTTCGGGGCCAAGTACCCATTTCGGATATTTTGGGAATTATTCGATTTCAGGAGGTTGCCGCCAATCGGGCCCCAGATGCCCCAAAGGTTCCCAGAGAGGCTTCGGCCATCCAAAATCAGTTAGGTTCGACTGTTGTTCAATCGTTCTTCTCCTGCAGATGGCTTCGGGGGCATTTCGGATAACCCCACGCTGGCCCATCCACATCAGAACACACACCACAGATTGGCCAAAGCCGCCCCGACAGACCGGTTTGCGGCCCAGGAGTGCTTCTGCCAGCGTCGTCTGGCACGATCACCATCCCCGTTGGCCCATGGTATCTCAGCCGCACCAGCGCCCCCCCCCTCCAGGTGGGGATGGGCCCCGCGAAACTCGAAGGGAACATCTCTCCACCTGGGACCCAGGGGGGCAAGAAGGCCAGCGGGGCAAAGGCCTTGCCAGTGGGGGTTGGGGATGACCATGATACTGGCCGAGAGGGCCCCCTAGGAGCTCAAGATACTTCCTCAAGGGCCGCAGTAAAGGGTGTAAGGGAGGAGGGAGGAGGAACACAGGGTAGGGAGGCGGAGTAGAAGGGAAAGGCATCGCGAAGAGAGCTATAACCAGTTGGAGATACAGATTGCAGATCTCATGACCAAAGATGAAGATCGATGACTGCTGGCGAGGAGTGAGGGATGAGGATGAGGGGAGGCAGCCTAGGATTCGCTGTCAATGTGGCTTGCTTGGGAGGCACAATGATCTAGCGCGCGCGAAGGGCGCGTGTGGTTCGAATTCAATTACGGCATGCGTGACGTAGTTTGGTTTATGTTTGTAGCCAGCTGATGTGTTTATTCGTTGGCTTGGTTTGACTGGAGCTGGCGCTTGAGCCAACATGCCCACCGAGATGTCTGTGGAGACGCACTGCGAGGTGCCTATCCACCAATGCACGGCCGAATGCTGCAGGCTCCTGGCCGAAATGTGTGTGGACGACGTAGAATGACGAGAAAAGGTTAGCTGGCAAGCAGGTGTTTCTGTTCTGGGCAGGTTGCAGACCTCCTTCCGGTCAGCCCTACCTCCCTTGGCGGGTGGAAGTTCACGGGTTACACAACAGTGCTGAGAGACGGGGCTCCCATGTACCTTCAAAAGGTTGAACACCATGCCCAGTGTTTCGTTCGAAGTATGGTAGCTTGGCCACTCCGAGCCTCGAGCCCCGCTTCTCTTTTGTCTTTGTCCCGTGTATCTTGTTTCGTTGGTATCCAGTAGAACGATGTCTGAAGCAGTCTCCGGTCGCGGTGACACTTGTCATCTACATTGTTTGAAGTTGCTCGCGGACTCAGGGCGTGTACGAGACGCGCGAAAAGAATTTCTTCGCCGAGGCGGCAGCCTGCTTTCGTTGACTTCTCTTGGACTCGTCGTCGGCATGTCGAGAGTCATCGCGGAGACCTAGTTGGGCTGCAGAGATTCTTGGTGACGCCCTTCGTCCCCGCGCACAATTATACGTTCGCGCTCGCGCATACAACCCCTGTCGCGCTCGCTTGTTCACTCATGCTTCGGCCCCCCGCTCGCTCTACATTCTCATATCTCCATGTTTTTGGTTCATCCCTCCTTTCCTCGGCTCTTCTCTCACTCGCTCATTCTGTCATTCGCTCCCTCAGCCATTCACTCACAAGGACGAGGGGAGGAGGGATGAAGAGTAAAGGAGAAAACGAGGGAAGGCGAGGCGAGGGAAGGCGAGGGGAGGGGATAAGAGGGCTCGGGGACCGGAGGGTTAGTAGAGGGGACTGGAGGGCTAGGGGACATTGTCGATCTATCGCTCGATTTCACAACCTATCGCTGTCCATATCGAAACATGCATCGCGCCATCTGAGAAACATGTTTGTAACAGCGTTTCTGTCTGTATATCTATACATACACACATGCTACATTCGGATTCACTGGTTGTTGCTGTAGAGAGAAAAAGATAGGGAGAGAGAGAGAGAGAGAAAGTGAGATGGGGCATCCATGGGGCAGCCATGCCATTTCACCGACTCATGTATCAATGTGTCGGTCTTTTTGTCGATGAGTATCACTATGTCTAGCGATCTCACGGTCAATAGACTTGCCGAACCTATTGTTTATTTATCGGAACAACCATGAGTACGAATGCCTCCATCGAACAACCATCGGGACAATGATCGTGACGACCGTTTCGTTCGGTTTGACAAGCATTAGTTGCCAATCGAGCTTATTACTTATATTTATACATACATATATATCCGTGGACATAGCTCTGGCTCGAGTTGTTCTGAGATTTCCACAGCGTGGATGAGATGCCCAACCTCCCAAGGATCGGGCTTCTTTGTCACACGCACTGACGGCTTATAATCGTTTCATTTCATTGAACCCGATGCATTTGCAAGGTTATGACAAGCGCCTGGATATATCACGCTAGCTGGAACACATCGAGGCCGTCCTCTTCTCATGTACTCGTGCGCCCATGAGACCCACTCGTCCTCTGAGTTTTTGATGCTGAAGTCCGGGTGGCACCGCAACAACAAAAGCACGACAGGGAACGAATACTGCGGTACGGCGATTCGGCTAAGTCGTCTATGGTTCCGAAAACACACATCGTGAAGATATGGAATCCTCCTCCTGCACTTCGAGGGCGGGTTGGCGCGGCCCGCGTCAAGAGCTTTCAGGTCGAGTACATTTTCATCACGGCCTCTTGCCCTCTGCGATCGCAGCGATTGATCACAGCATCAAAGAACGAAGTCATCATTGACAATATCATCGCCTGCGTACCTGCGTGTTCATCCGCACGGACCAGAATGACGGCTTCCAGAAGGCAGCCACGCACGACGATGGCGACGCCACTATCGGAGAGTACACCTATAGTCAGCAGCGCTACATGGGTAATGCATTTCACATTTATGAAGGACTATGCCCACTGCGCTGCCAGCACACATCACCCATGCGGCCCTACATTTCATGGTATATGTGGGCACGCCAGCTAAATTGGCGACAAAGTGATGCCGATCCGATACATCCCTCGAGTACAACGCAACAGCATCGCCTATCGACTGACAAAACGACTCCGCGCCTTTCCGTCGCCACGTCTTTTGGATCATATGATGTTCTATATCGATGTGGATTGCACCCTCACGTTTGACAAGCCACATGTTTTACCGCAGTGGGACTACACTGGCATCTTCCAGGCATGGCATGATGAACAATTCTTCGATTGGGCCAAGGAGCTCCGCGATGACATTGAGATGGACTTCGCCAGATCCATGTACGAGCACGGCCACCGAGACATGGCGGACTGGGCAGAACGGCGCACGATGGAGTCAGGACGGCAGATACTTTTATCCAAAATACGTTCACGCGCTCTCGAGTTCTTTGACGGGAAAATAGCCCCGACCGGCTTTGAGTGCCAGCAGCTGGCGAAACAACGACATAATGCCCTATGCACCAGAACGCTCGCACGCAAGAGCTTCGTCGACGACCTTGAGAGCACGACGGGCCTTCGACGCTGCAGTGCGGCCTGCAAGAAGCTACGGCGCCGATTCCGCGACCGACGGGAAGTCTTTCTTTTCGAAGTCCAGCGCGCTGACGAAGCAGGACTCGAAGCCGAAGTGCGGCGCGCCTGCCGACGAATCGCTAGTCGCGGAAAAGACCAGGCAAGCGCTGCTTCCTGGATCTACCTGACGCTCGATCCTCAGTACAGGCCTGGGCTGAAGATGTGGCATCACCTGGAGCGGAAGGCGGCGTGGAAGCTGCCCCGTCGACGCCGACCACTTACTTCTTCGACGCGGCGGCTGACCGGGGCGAGCGTTTCTGCCCCGCCTCCCATCGATGGCACACGCTGCGAACGACGTCGAGCACCTCCAGAATGGTCGCTGCCTCCTGAGCGCCGGTCCCTTTTGCTGGTGGATCGCAGTGAGGTTGAACAGAGGGCGGCTGCTACAAGCTCGATCGCACCATGATCTTCCCCGGCCCCTTACTCGGCGACGCCGCGCCCACGCAACTCGCTGCAGTTCGCCGACGCCAGCGTCTCAATGCGTGGCGAAATCTTTCACGCGCATGTCAGGTCAGCAGGATGAATAACAAACCTCACGCTCGCGGTGCGCGGCCATTGCATGGATTGTGCACGTTCGGCAAGACATGGGCGGCATCCAGACAGACGTTTTCCTCGACGCCACTGGGCGATGCAGAGCACGGTTATGCACGGGCTCGCTCACAATCTGCTGCCGTCGCCGTCGGTTTTGCGCTGCGATGGCGCCTCGCGCGAATTCGCCGGAGCCACGTCGCCACGAAACACGACATGACGAACGCGTTCGCCTCTGTGGGTCACGCACACCTCGGCGCGGCAGTGGATGAGTGTCACCTCCCTGGAGACTGCGCCACCGCGAGACGGCGACGCCGACGGGCAGCGCGCGTCATCAGCGACGGCATCGACGCCCAAGGCTATCAGAACACAATCGGCTACTTCATGGGAGACGCCGGCGCCGCCATCAAGTTCCGCGCGTCGTTCATGTCCCCCGCCGCCGACTGGAACGCAGCGCTCGCCACCGACGCGAGCACGTCGACGGTTGCAGGATGCGAGCTCGCGGGCGCCAGCGTTGACCTAGGCGTTCGCAAGTGCGCCGGCGACCTCGCCGGGGCCCGCCTGTGTCATGACGCGCAGATGGCCGCCTGCAAGGTTCAGCACTCCGGCGCGGTCCTCAACGACAAGCTGCAGATGATAGGCCTACGACAAAACGCTGGACAAAAAAAGGCAGCACTTCCCACCTTCGCGGGCACTGGAGCCCATCGACACGCGCATTCCCTTGCAAGCGAACGGCCTCAACCGCGCTGAGATCATGGCGCGCTGTGCTGCAGCGGCGCGTGGCTGGAGGAGCGCGGGGCGCTCTTGGAATAATTGCAGCCATCTATGCCGACGGAAAATTACGTTCAGATGTCAAGTTCTCCTTTCCGCGACCTCTGGCGTCGAAGCGCGCGAACCCGCGGGGGCTCAGATCGACCAGGCCGACGCGCGTGCGACGCGACACGCTCGATCACTACTTCAAGGCGCCGCGCGCATCGAGCAGTCTGCCGGCGACGACGACCCCTCGTGCTCGATTGAGGTAGCGCGAGCTGTTTCTTCCCACGAAGTATGGAAGCGACTGGCGATGGCACCGCCGCCCCGTGACATGCAGCTCCTGCGCATCAAGAGATGGCAGCGGGTTGCTCGCGCGCCCGCTCGCCGCGCTAAACTTCTAGCCTGCGCGTTCGGCGAGAAGCTCTGCGAGAACGCGCCCGCTCGTGATTTTGATTGGGCCCCTGCGCGCCCTGACGGCGGTGGGCCTGCCCGCGTGGACATCCCGTGGCGCGAGCAATGTTTGGAGGGCGCGCAGTTGTTGAATGTTCTTTCCGACGGCCGCGCCTGCCTCGACGTTATTGGGGAAGATTTGTTCGACGTCTTTCGGCCGACACCCGGCCGAGACGTCTTCGGCGAGCTCGCGATTGCACGCGCGCGAAAGTGGCGGCCGGAACGGCCCGTCCCACCATGCAGAACGCTAGCGGCAGATGTCTCTTGGCGCAGCCCCCGCGCGCGCGGCCTCCTGCGCGCGGGCGGGGCGCCATGCCTGTTTGCAGCAAAAACGAAACGAGCGCCCCGAGCACGTTGATCTATGCGCGGGGAAGGGGATAACATGGGCGAATATGCGATTGCACGCGATGCACGATTGCACACCAATGCCCATACTGCCGATCGATCTTCGCGAGCCGACAGACTGCGATGAACCACCTAACCGCTGCCTCTCGTGCCGGCAGATGCCAAATGCCAAACGCGCCGTTCCGTTTGCAACTTCGACGCGGACGACCCGCCGCGGCTTTTTTGCCCAGGCGGCGACTACGAGCCCACCCTCCCCAGCCTTTCTGAGCTGCAGACACGCATTGCCGAAGCGCGCCCCCCTGGCGCCTCGCCCCCACGTCGCGGATGAGTTCACTGCCAAGCGCCGAAGAGCCCGCGAGCGCAGCTGCGGGGGGGCCCGCGCCGAAGCCCCGCCGACGCCAAGACGAAGTGCGCGGGGGCCAACCGAACGGGTCGAAGTCCAAGCGGGTGGACCTCGACTCGCTCCAGGTCGAGGAGATGGAGATGAAGGGCATGCTGCGCATGTTCCTTATCGTGACGAAGCTGCTACTCAACGTAGCCATGCGGCAGCGACAGACCGAGGCGGTCTCGATCAAGACTTGCCTCGCCTCACCTGGCGCGAAAAAGGCCGCGACGATCCGCGCTCGAGTTCGCGCCCGGGTAAAAGGAGATCCGCGGCTCGACCCCCGCGCCGCAGATCGACGGAGAGATTGCCGCGATCGGGGCGATCCGCGCCGCGGCGCCCGCGGGCCTGCTCTAAGGCCTCACTCAGGAAGGCGCCCCCGTCGGAGGCCGCAACCAGCAGAACCTGACGGCGCTCAGCAACCAGCCTCGCCAGGCGGGCATCAAGCACATCGCCGAGCTCGTTCCCATCGCGAAGGCGAGCGCCACCCACGACCAGCCTCACCAGCGCGAACAGCGTCGACTTCAGCGCAGTTCGTGGGTCGCTCATCCAGACGGGCGCGAACTGCAAGCCAGGCCAGGGCCCGATGGTCCACGCGAAGAGGATCTTCCACGCGCAGCTCGCGCAGATGGAGGACACGCTCATGGGATAGACTTCTACGCCTTTCACTGGACACGGCATAGTTGTGCGCGATGGGGGCTTGAAATTTCAGCGAATACCGATGCCCGGGGCATGGGGGGCCCACCGCAAGCATCAACGGGTGCGCCTACATCTACGCCAGTTGTCCAGGGCATTGGTCGCCCACCCGTTGCATACCAGAGCGCGCCTACATCTACCTCCGCGGGAAGCCCACCGCATGCATCATCGAACGCGCCTATACATCTACAGTTGTTCAGCGCATGGAGGGCCCACCACGTGCATCTCAGAGCGCTCCTGCACCAGCTATTCAGCCCAAGGGAAGCCCGCCGCGCGCGCCGCCGAGCGCGTCTGCGTCGACGCCGACTGTTCAGGGCGTTCAGGGCATGGGAAGCCAATTTTTTGCATCGCAGAGCGTGCCTACATCTACCGCAGTTGTTCAGGGCATGGACGGTCCACCTGTTACATTAACGGGTGCGCCTACACTCAATGTTCAGGGCATGGGAAGCCCACGCTGTGCCACTCAGAGTGCTAGTCATTCGCGCCCCCGCGCTGAGATGTGGACAGCCTGCCTGATTGCGCGCGCCCATGCCATGGCCCAGGCTGAAAGGCAGAGCCCACGTAAGACCCCTGAGTCGTGCCTTTCTGGCCTCCCTGTGCCTCCTAATATTTCCACGCCTCCTGAGCATCTGAGCCCCCCCTTCCTTGGAAGCGACCTCGAAGGTCTTTTGTCCCCCCGCCGATACCTCAGCGCTAGCCGCATTCTTCCCGAGGCTCGTTTTTTCCTGCTCCCGCGGCCGGGCAACGCCCAGGGCTCGACTCACGAACGATGGGATGTACCATGAGACTCGTCGGATCGAGCAGGCGTTGAGACCTGCGGTTCGATTTCCGTCAGTGTGTGACCACGCTGTTTAGATCCGGGTGCAGCCCGATCCCAGAGGCACCTTGCGTCTGCGACCTGCGAACTGCTGCCTCCGAGGGTCCGATCGATCGATATTCATGGATATTGCGATCGGTCTGTCGATACAGCCATCGAGACAAACAGCGGAACCACCATCGGGACAACCAATGTTGTTGCTCTGCAGGGTGCGTTATTTGTAGTTTTGCCTCGCAGCGCGAGTTTTTCTTGTTGTTCGTTCTTCTCGTTTGGTTGTACGATGGGCTCACAGAGCGCATGTTTCGTGTGATGGCCTCGCGGGGCATGTACCGTTTTATGACCACGCAGAGCCATTGGGAAAACCGTAGGGATAATCATCGGGACACCCATCGGGGCAACCGTCGGAACAACCATCGGGACAACCATCGGGACAACCATGGGGACAACCATTTAAGCACCCATAAAGACAACCATCGACACAGCCATCGGGACACCCTATCGGGACAACCCCGCGCCACGGCCACCGCGGGGCAGACTCGTTTTTGTCCGCTGGGACCTATGCTAGAGGACGAACTCGCGCAGTTTCGCCTCGCCTCGTCTGCACGCGCGTCACGCGCGTCCGAAATTGATGTCCCCGCGCGGGCACATCACGGTTCAGTTCGGTATCGCTTTTCCAACCTCCGATAACCCCTTTTTCGCCCCAGGGTTGCAGTTGTTTCCGAATGGCGAGGCGGAGGAGGAGCAGGGGCTCTTCTCCGCAGCCTCGTATCCCCCTCCTCCCGATCCTCCTGCTTCTCCCTCACCTCGCGCATGATGAAGCGGGTTCGAACCATGCCAAGTGGGTTGTCCACCAGAGCGTCAGTAGCAGGCGAGCTGGCATTTCATGCGGTGCGTGCAGATGCGCTGCGATTGGCGCCGCGAGCGTCCCTCCTCCGTGCTGTCGCCCGCTGTGCCTCGGTAGTGTTGGGTGCCCCTCGGCCACCACGGCCACACTTGCCGTGAAAGCTGCGTCCAGCGCCGCCGCACTTGGCGTGTTTGGAGGAGGAGGGGGAGGAGGAGGAGGAGGAGGAGGAGGCCAGGAGGCCAAGAGGAGGAGGAGGAGGAAGAGGAGGGAGGAGGAGGAGGAGGGAGGAGGAGGAGGAGGAAAGGAGGAGGAGGAGGAGGAGGAGGAGGAGGAGAGGAGGAGGAGGAGGAGGAGGAGGGGAAAAGGAGCCCTGCAAAGCGGCGAGGACCTGGGCACCAAGCTCGCCGGGGCGCCACGCCCAGCCGATGCTCCTGCTCCTCCTCCTCCTCCTCCTCCTCCTCCCCCTTATTCTTCTTCCTTCTTCTCCTCTTTTCTCCTCCACCTCCTCCTCCTCCTCCTCCTCCTCCTCCTCCTCTTCTCCTCCTCCTCCTCCTCCTCCTCCCTCCTCCTCCTCCTCCTCCTCCTCCTCCCCCTTCTTCTCCTCCTCCTCCTCCTCCTCCTCCTTCTCCTCCTCCTCCTCCTCCTCCTCCTCCTCCCGGGTGGGGCGGGCGGTGTTGCGAGAGGGCCTCGTGGAGCTTCAGGCCCAGCCTTTCGACGCAGTGCTTCTCAACGACGTGGACCCCGCCGAGCTCTCGAACCCGTCCCCAGGACTGGTCCGTCGTGGCGGTTCTTCTCGTTGATGGATCCCTGGGAGTCTGGCCGTCGTGGTCACCTCTGGACGGTGGAGGTCTGTTGGAGGGTTGGGGGCCGCTGGGCTAGGGCCTTTGCAGGGGCGTACTGATACACGGGTGCGTGGAAGGTGAATGCGGCGACATGTGATTGTAGCAAGTGCTGCGCTCCGCTGCAGTAAGCATCTGACACAGGCAACGGGCCTGCCATGAGGTGCCCCACGGAAGTGTCCTATCCCCCAACTGCCCCGAGGGCCCCCAGAAGCGTTAAAACATCTCGGGAATTTCAAAGATTGACGACGAGCGTGCCCCTGGATTTCGTATAGCGAGATATCTCAACGCATGTGCCTACTGAAGTGGGCGGTGGTGAAGCATGTTATTGTTTGCGAAGATGAGTTTGAGGTGACTGCGCTGCGCGAAAGTTGCCGTCGAGAACGGTGTTCTACACACGTCTCTGCCAAAGGCCTCCGCCCACGATGTATTTCACCCCATCTTTGCTTCCGTCCCAGCACACACCATATACCACACCCACGGTCGTGTCGTGTATGAATACTTGCCTCTAGGCGAGGTGACCGTCACGAGCAGGAAGCGTTTATAGGGGGCTAGAGCGAGCTCGCCACAGCTCTGAGCCAGGACTGACCGACGCCGAGACGAAAGCGAGCACCCACTCTGCGTCAGGACTGGTTCACTGGAGCGGGGCGAGAGCGGCTTACTGACCTGGGAGCGGGTTGGTGTTTTTGCGACAGGGTCAGTCCGAATCTGACACGTGGCCAGCGATGGGGCGAGATCACCATGGTAGGCCAGGAGGGAGTGCGACTGGCGTTGAGGCAGATGCGCAGGAGGAGGCGGAGGTGGATGCGGAGGAGGAGGCGGAGGATGAGGAGGAGGAGGAGGAATAAGATAGAAAGGTCAGAAAGAGCGCGTTCTGTGGTCGCTTGGAGGGGGGGGGGGGTTGGAACCGGACCCCCCCCCCTTGGATGGAAGGGGGGGGGTTCGAACACCCCCCCACCCTCCCGTGACGGAGGGGGGAGGGGGTTTCGACCCCCCCCCCCTCCCCCCTCCCCCCCTTACCTCTTCTCTCTCCCTCTCCTCGGCTGGCGGCGGCGGCGGTGGGAACGACGATTTCCTTTGCTGGGCTGGCGCGGGCGCCTGCGGCGGCAGGCGGCGGCGGCGGGGAGGGTGGACGAAGACGGTGGTGGTGGTGGTGGTGGTGGGTTGTGGTGGTGGTGGTGGTGGTGGCGGTGGTGGCGGTGGCGGTGGCGGTGGTTGTGGTGGTGGTGGTGTGGTGGTTTGTTGTTGTGGTGGTGGTGGTGGTGGTGGTCGTGGTGATGGGTGGTGGTGGAGGTGGTGGTGGTGATGTGGTGGTGGTGTGGTGGTGGTTTGTGGTGGTGGTGATGGTGGGTTGTGGTGGTGGTGAAGGTGGTGGTTTGGTGGTGGTGTGGTGGTGGTTTGTGGTTGTGGTGGTTGTGGTGGGTTACAGTTGTGGCGGTGGTTTGTGGAGGTAGTGCTGGTGGTGGTGGTGGCGGTGGTGGTTGTGGTGGTGTGGTGGTTTGTGGTTGTGGTGGTGGTGGGGGTTGTGCTGCTGGTAGCGGTGGTGGTTTGGTTGTGGTGGTGGTGGTGGTGTGGTGGTGGTGGTTGTGGTTGGTGGTGGTGGTGGTGGTGGTGGTGGTGGTGGTGGTGGCTGTGGTGGTGGTGGTGGTTGTGTGGTGGGTTGGTGGTGGTGGTGGGTTGAGGCGGTGGTGGTGGTGGTAGTGGTGGTGGTGGTGGTGGCAGGTGGTTATCGTCGCTGCGTCCCCGCCGTCGCCGGGGGCCAGCGCCGGCGCCGGCGCCAAGGGGGGGGGGTTGAACCCCCCCCCGCCCCCTCGGCGCCAGGGGGGGGGGGCTTGAACCCCCCCTCCCCCCTTGGGCTGCCTCTGGTCATCGTCGCTGCGCCCTCGCCCGTCGGCGCTGCTGGCGGCCGCCGGCGCCGGCCGGCGCCGAGGGGGGGGGTTCGGGAGGGTTTGGGGGGGAGGGGAGTCCCCCTGGTTTTGATCGACGGCGCCGAGTGTTGGGGGGGTCCCACCCCCCGGCTCGAAACGCGCCGCCGAATGTTCCCAAGGCAAGCGCCCGTGAAACCCGTTCTCTCGTAAGGTAGAGAGGGATACAGAGAGAGAGAGAGAGAGAAAGAGACGAAGAAGCAGCAAATGATACGCTGAGATAAGCGAAGGCATCGCCGCTGGCCCTCTCCGCGCCGCCCAGTCCGGGCCGATGTCGGGTCCGCCTCCGCCCAGCGTGCGCGCAGTGGCCGACGCGAGTCCAGAAAGGGAGGAAGCAAGAAGGGGAGGAGGAGGAGGAGGAGGAGGAGGAAACAGGAAGGGGAGGAGGAGGAGGAGGAGGAGGAGGAGGAGGAGAAAGAGGAGGAAAAACAGGAGGAGGAGGAGGAGGAGGGGGAGGAGGAGGAGGAGGAGGGAACGGGGGGGGGAGGGCTTTCAACCGTTGGCTTGGAGAAGCCCGCGACGGCGCAAGGGGCGCAGCGGAGGCGGCGCACGATCGAATGGTGCCAGCGCGTAGACCTCAAACCGTTTTTTTCGCGCACCAGGTGTGGAGCCCCACGTGGTTCGCCACGGCCGCCCGCCGCGCTCTGGCTCTGCGCGCCTGGTTGCTGCTGCCCCCCTTGTTGCTCATCGTCGAACCTTTCGGCGTCTGAGCGTCCCTTCTTCCACTCGGCCGTCCCCCTCCCTCCTTGCTCGCCGGCCAATTCGCTAGTTCGTGCCCCTACCTAGCTGCTCGCTGGTGCGGATTTCGCCGCCTCGCCGCTGACGAAAAATGTATGGAGCCCCATGTGTCTGGAATCACATGCCTTTGCAGTGCCCAATGTTTTGTGTGGGGCCCCATGTGTGTGTGGGACTCCGTTTGTTTTGGTGTGTGTGTGTGTGCGAATGCGAATGCGAATGTGAATGTGACTGTGTGGAACCACGCGTGTGTGGAACAGCCACGCGCGTGGATCCTTAGGCGTGCGGAACTCGATTTCTTTGGAAGCTCACGCGCCATAATTCCCATAGGAAATCAAATCATGTGAGTCCACTGGCAAGCGGCCGCCGAAAACAGCGAAACACAGGCTCAGTGGGATGGGAAACCATCTGAGCCCAATCAGGAAACAGAGCTCTGAGACACAGGACCAACGCTGCAGGAAGATCTAGGTGTCCAGGCTCACACCAATAAGTGTGACACACAGGACCCATTTCTTTGGAAGCCTCAGAAGATACCCAGTTGCAAACACTGACTCAGGTACCCTGATACGCCCTGTTCAGATACGCGGAGCGTGCCGTAGTGGAACGTTCCGGAGCGAAACGTTGCGTATTGGCCCAATACGTGTGCCGTTTTGGGGCTCCGTATTTAGTTCCGTTTTGAGCGGCGCATCGGGATCATCCGACTCCTCCTCCCCTCCCCCTTTTCTCTTGCAGCTGCTCTTCTTCGTCATCCTCGTCTTCTCCTTCTCCAGCTCCTGCTCCTCCCTCTCGTCTTTGGTCCCTCTGCTTCGGGGCAGCTGCTGGCTCAGAGCAGGGGGCCACTTTGGGTTAGAAGGGGCTGCGCGGTCCCCGCGTGGCACGAGGAGCTTGCAAGGGGCCTCGGTGGAGCACCAGGGGGCCTCGGTGGAGCCAACAGGGAGCCTCGGTGAAGGTGTCGCATGGGCACAGGAGGGTGTCATATGGGCGTGGGGATGTTTTATACGGGCCCCCAGAGGCCCAGAGGTGTCATATTCACGCACATGTGTATTCGTGTGTATATATGTATGCATGCATGCATGCAGGCAGGCATATATATATACATACATACATACATATATGTACATATGTATGTATATATATATGTATGTATATATGTATATATATATATATTCACATATATGTATGTATGTGCATATGCCCAGAGACGTGACATCGATGGGCACGCGCAGAGTCTTACATGAGGTATTATGGCGGCCCTGCGGAGCCGCTTTGCCCCATCCAGTGCTGCATTGAACGGGGTAAATACAGGACAGGGAAGAGGATACGTGGGAGGAGGAGAAGGATGTGAGGGGGTGAAGGGGGAGAGGGAGAAGGAGGGGGAGGGGGCGGATGAACACCAGAGTATAAGCAAGGTGCGACAGCGATGCTGCATCACACGCTCCCATCCCAAACCCCGTCATCGCATGTCCCTGCAAGCTTCCCTTTTTGACTTTGCGGGAAGCCACTCTTGAAAGACGCGAGCCTGAGCTTGCCATTCAATCGAGAGCCCGTTTTGAAAAGGAATCGCGTTCCAGCTTCCTGGTTGTGAGAAGTGCCACGCGGTAGGAAAATAATGTAAGTCGAGAGAGAGAGAGAGGGAGAGAGAGAGATGTCTTGCGCGAGCAATGTTTCGGAACATGGCTCATTTCCATCCGTGTAGCTGTTTCACAGTTGTAATATTGTGTTCATGCGTGTTCTTTTAGGTGCCGAGTCGCAGCCCCATGTTAGAAAGCAGCCGCCGTCCATCATTGTAGTCATCTTGTCTATGTTGAACATTTGGCGTTCATGGTGGATTCGCCCCAAGCGAGAGCCACAGTTCTAAAGATAGCCCCCTCTATCTGTGCAGCTGCTGCAAAGCGTTGGGACGAATTCGTTCGGCGCTGAAGCGAGAGCCGTATTTTGAATAACACGTTTTTTACATTTGCAGGCTATGAGAGCTTGTAATGCGAGTGTGCACGGCGGTACGGCGAGAACCTATTTTGAAGACCACCCGTCTTCCATCTTGATACCGAATGTTTTAATTTGCAGTTGTGTTTGTTCATCGGGTACTTTTGGCCGACGCGCCTGCCGAATGAAGAAGTGCGGTGTTCAAAGTTTCGTTTGCGGGAAAATAGTGGGCCGCCCCCCCTCTCCGCCAATATAATCAAGCCAAACTTTTCTTTTTGACAGCGGGGGGCATTGAACACCTGTATGTCCAACAGATAGGCCACCTAAACTCTATTAACATGCAGCTTTAGCTCCCAGGGCACCTTGGCGCGGCGCGTTTGCCAACCGCTTGCCTGCGGCAAGTAACAACTTGCCAGTTTAGCAGTGGGAGCATTTCGATACAAGCGCGCGCGGCACGTAAGTGAGAAGAGCATTTTGAAAACCATGCGACCTCCATCCTTGTAGCTGCAGGACGCCTTCAAGCCGAATGTGCATGGTGCGGAGGCGAGAGCCACATTAAACGACACACATCCGCATTTCATCCTCGTAGCTGTCAGGAGCTCCAAGCTCCAGGATCACAAGCGGTGAGGAAGCCCTCGGGCGATACATCTGGCCCGCCTGGCCCATATTACGCATCGGGGCGCAACGAGGAGGAGCTGCTCGTGAGGAAGAAGGGTCGGAGGAGGAGGCGGGGGGAGGAGGGCGGTCTGGCCCCCCTGCCGTCCCGCGCACGGGCCAAGGCGAGGCACGCGGGCTCCAGCAAGTGAGGGCGGCGGCACCCTCGCAGTGCGCACGTGGGCCCGCGCCGCTCGCCCGCAGAGCGGGCGCGCGCGGATTGGCTTTCCCGACTCTCCCCCTTCGCCTCCGGTCCTCCCCCCTTTCCTCGGTCGGCCGGTCAGGGGATGCCACTGAGGCCCGCGGCCAGTCCCAAAGGTGGGACGAGGAGAAGAAAGGAGAGAAGCACGCAGAAGCGAACTTATCCTCCGCCTTCTCCTCCTCCTCCTCCTTCTCCTTCCGTGGCAGTTTTGGCTCAAGATGTATGGTCCCGCGGGACGGGCATGGATATTGCAGGTCCGCGGTCGTCTACCATAGCGTTGGTTCTTGAGCCCAGGGCCGTCGTCCTCTCTCGGAGGATGCCAGTTCTCCACGCACGCGCCGTGCCTGGCCGGGCCGATTTGTGGCCCAGGATTTGTGGAGACGCCCTCCTCCACGCCTCGCTGGCGCGAGCCGCACTCCGCGGCCGACGGACACATGTGGGCGCTGGCCGAAGCGTCGGTCGACTTCCGCCAAATCGGGGATGCTGCGTTGGGCATCTTGGGGGAGCGCGCCGATTTCGGCCAGTTTGGGAGGGCCCAGAGGGGTCCGAGCCTCTCGTGTTCCCTGCTCTCGCCCCGCCCCCGCCGCCCCAGCGCCGCCGACGTTGCATGTGTATGCCTGCGCGCGTGCACGGAAGATCGACAAAGGCGGAAGCGGGCGGAGCGTGGGATTTTTTTTAAGGGGGGATGACACCAGGTGCGAACCCTCGAATTCTGACATGCAGGGTAGGGTCCGCCTGTGGTTGCCAAGGGAGGTCCTGATGTTACCGCGATGTAGCACGAACGGCATCTAGGCCCCCCCATGAGGAAGCTCCCGTGGATGGGGAGATGCGCGCGGCGGCGAGGACAATTAGCACTGAGGGGCAAGGGACTCCACGACTCAGAACACCAGTCCTGAAGGTGATCCTCTCGGGGGATCTAGGTGCCTCGGGGCGGGCTATTCGGAGGTTGATAGACCTCCTACCCCGACACGTCGATTAGCGAATTGGCCGTTTTCGGTTCGCGAGAGGGCTTCGGGGTCCAGGTCCGTCGGTTTCGGTCCTAGGCCGTTTTCACTAAAGGGTGGTTTACCAAAGGGAGGTTTGTCCACCGCCGAGCTATAGCGAAGGAGGAGGGGGATGGGGGAGGAGGAGGACGGCCGGAGGTGAAGCACCCGTACCTGCAGCGTCGCGAACAAAGAAACGCCGCACGCTGTGCTCGCGATCTTGGCCACGGGGGTCTGTCTGTGGAACTGCCCGCGGCGGATCGAAACATGTGTTCTGTGTGTGGTGTGTGTACTGATATTTGCGTGCCCCGCCCTAGAACTCGTTGCGTTGGATCAACCGGCCAGGAAGTAAATCATTGTGCTTGTGTGTATGTTTGTTCGTTTGTGTGTGGTTGGGTGTCGCAGGCGCGTCTACCTTTGCGTTTCGAGCTCCACCCCGTGTTACCGTGTTACTGCGCACTGGTTCTGAGCCTCCCTCGCTCCCTCGCTTCGCCTCCGCCCTTCTTCCTGTTTCCCCCCCTCACCTAGGGGCCGTCATGTCGGCCCAGCTGGGCGCCCGCGTCGCCCGTCGAGCCGCACCTCGGCAAGGCCAGGGTCCCTGGTCTTGTGCCGCTCCGGTGCCAGTGCACAGGAGCTAGCAAAGCCTAGCCACCTCCGGAACGCCAGATTTCACGACGTTCTCCAACGGCCATGGCTCAGCAATGGCATGTTGCCTGCCGCCCAGCGGATGGCGGCTTGCCTCTCTGGTGGTCACGGCGCTGCCCTCCCCTTCGGCAGCTCGTGCTCAGCGGCATGCAAGCGAACGCCAGGCCGTTCGCACAGGTGTTGAACGCCTCGGCGTTGGCCCGCTGCAGCGCGGCGGCCAAGCGCTGGCGCGCCGCCGCGAGCACGGCCGCGTCGCCGGCCGCCTAGGTGCGCAGGAGGTCGTGTGCCCCGCACCCGTGCCGCCCCAGCACCTCCAGCGCGAAGGCGCACAACGCCGCGCCGGGGAAGCGGCGGTGCTGCTTCTCCTCCGCCGCGGCCGCCGCAGCCCCGTTGCGCCAGGCCCTGCCCCGCCCCGCTGGCGTCGCGGCCCCGGCTGCAGCGTCGGTCACCACGACGTCCACGTACGCGGTGCCGATCACTGGGTCCACGCAGATCACGTCCAGGCGCGCCGCCTCGAAGCGACCGTCCCGGCGGACCCTGGCCCAAGCAGGGACGAGCTGCTCGGTGTCCACGCCCCTCGCTCCGCGCTCCTTGAGCCAGCGCGCGAGCCAGTCGCGGATGGCGTTGTGGCGCGCTATCGTGCCCGCCCCGGCATGGCAGTCCAGGGGGTGGGTCGGGGCCCGCGCGAGGTCGTCTCCGCAAAGTTGCCCATCTGCGCGGCGGCGCTGGCAGGTGGCGCAAGCATCAGCGGGTTTCGGGAGGCGGAGGTGCAGCGCCAGCGCCGTCAGGTAGTGCTCGTCCGCCAGGCGGTGGTCGTCCTGCGTCGGCGGGAGCAGCCAGCTGCCAGCGCTCTTTCCGCTTCCCGAACGGATGGGCAGCCTGTTCTGGTGACAGCGCCGCGAGGAGCCGCTTCCGGCTCTCGTCCCGTTCGTGTTGCGCGGGCGCCTTCTGCGCCTTGCGCTTCGGCTCCACCGCGGCCCAGTGCCACTCGTCTGCCCCGAGCCGGAGCTCGTTGCCCGCCCGCTCCGCCGCGCCCCAGAGCGCTGGGCAGCTCGAGACGAAGGCGCCCAAGCTGGCCTCGCCCAGCTCCCGCCGAACGTCGGCCAGGCAGCCGAGCCACGAGCCGGCGAAGGTTGCGAGCCTGCGCTGGGACATGCTGGGCACGCCCACCCCTCCCTCTGCCAAGGGAAGGAAAAGCTGCTCCCGCGCGTCTGGTGGCAGAGGTCGCCCGAGCAGGCCCTCCAGGTGTCCCACCACCTTGTTGTCGTAGTCGCGGCACCACTCCTCGCTGAGGAGGTGCGCCCGCGCGTGATGCAGCGCCGCCCCGTTCGCGAACGTCCGGACGAGGACCACCTCATCCTGCGCCGTGAGCCCGTGCGCCCGCAGGCCGCGCAGCATCCCGAGGTAGGCGGTCAGGTGCTCGGTCGCTGCCGCGGGGGTCGCCGTCGGCAGGAAGCTTACCCTCGCTGGGTCGGCGCTCAGCCCTTCTGCCGCCGCTCCGCCGCGCACGAACGGCAGGAGCGACCCGAGACACTGCATCTGCGGCACGACCTTCCCGGCCAGGGACGCCGGGAGCTGCAGGCCCCAAGGGTTCCAGACCTGCGTCTTGACCGCGTTCACCCTGAGGCCGACTCGGCCGAAGGCGGCGGGGGCGGCAGCGTATGCTGCCTCCAGCGCTGCTGGCGTAGCTTTCACGTGGCTGTCGTCCAAGTAGGCCAGCAGGCGCGCTTCGGGGTCGACGGCGGCCGCCTCGAGGGCGAGGTACACGTCCGCCACGGCGACGGCGAATAAGGCTGGCGACAGCGGGCAGCCTTGGTCAAGGCCACGCTCCGCGATCACCGGCTGGACGCTCCCTTCTGGCAGGTGGGCGCCGTGCATCGTGGCGCCCCAGTACCGCGCGGCCGCCAAGCCGGCTAGCTCGGGTAGCTTCGCCGACACCACCTGCAGCACGGCGTCCCGGTCGACCTCGTCAACGGCGTTCGACACGTCCAGCTTGAGCAAGGCACTATCCGGCGACTTCTCCACGGCCCCGGCGACCACCCGCTGCATGACCTCGGTGGCGTTCTTCCGGCTCACCCCAAACTGCCGGGGCCCCACCGCCTCGGCGATGGCACTCTTGTGGGCGTCTGTGGTAGCCTTGCCTGCCATGCGCCTGAGTGTCTCGCCACACGCCAGTGGGCGGATGCCCGCGGGCGGCTTGCGCAAGGGCAGACGCCTGCCCCCCAGCATGGCCCCAGCCGCTTGCTCCGGCATCCGGCCGCGCAAGATCAGCTCCAAGACCTGTGCAACGACCTCTGGACCATCCGGGCGCCCGCGGAGCGTCGCCCAGTGCTCGAACCGTGCGCCCGTCAGGCCCAGCCCAGAGTGCCTCGGGAACTTGTTCAGAGCTCCAGAGGTCTTGGTTGCGGCCTCTTCCTCCCAAGTCGTCGGAGCCACGTGTGGCGGGGGGCCGCGAGGGCCGGATGCTGCGGGGAACAGCTGCGCCAATTGGTTCGCCACGCCCAGGCCTGTGGCCAACCTGTTGGGTCCGGCCGCTGCCGCAGCCGCCCGGCTGACCTCACCCAGCATGAGGAATTCGTGCACGCGGTGAGCCTGAGCCTCCATGTTGCGCTGCGGATGCGCCGTTCTCGTCTCCAGCCCGCCTGGGCGCGCGGACTCGGCCCACAACACAAGGCCGCCCAATCCCCCGCCCATGCCTTGCGCAAGCGGTTCGCCACCACTTTGGTCGCGGAGTTCCGGTCTTCGTCCTTCTCGCAGCGCGGCGGGATGGCGACGAGCAGCCGCGGGAGCATGAGGAGCTGCGCCCAAGCCCCCTCGTCGCTTGGCCGTCCGCCACGGCACGGCACGCGGCCGCCAAGATGTCGCCGACGGCCGTGTCCAGGCTCGGCGGGATGGCGGTCCACGTCGGCATCGGCTCGACGAGCGCTGCGTGCAAGTCAAACTGGGCCCACCAGGAATGGCCAGGCAGCTCCCCAGCATCGGCGGCCTCGGTGTGACGCGGCGCGACGTCGTGGACGGGCGCGTCCTCCCTCGTCCCGTCGGCGTCGAGCGCCTGGTCTGGAGCGACGCAAGCCAGCACCTGCCCACGGGCGCGCTCTGGCAGAGCGGCCAGGCCCTGCACACTCCCCCGGGGAATACCTCCTGGGATGCACCACGGGTGGCGAAAGTGCCAGTCCGGGTTGGCGGTGCTCGCCAGCCGCACCTCCTCTGGCTCGAACCCCGAGCAGCACAAGACACACACTGCCACTCTTTTGAGTCGAGGCTGGAGGCTCGCCCCCCAAAGCCCGGACTCGCACCCCGCCGCGCGCTCTGGAGTCTCTGGAGGCAGCGCCAGGCGGCGGTGCGGGCGGTGCAGGCGGCGCAGCAGCAGCAGCAGCAGCAGCAGCAGCAGCAGCAGCAGCAGCGGCAGCAGCGGCAGCAGCGCCTGCGGCGCTCCCCTGGGCAGCAGCGGCGCCGGGCGCAACGCCAAGTTGAGCTGCTCCAGAAGGCGCGGCCGCAGCCACTTCGCCCCCCCTCCTGCATTCTGCCATCCCCCTGCAGATCGTCGTCCTCCTCCTCTTCCTCCAAGTCGCTCATTGCCCCCACATCGCCGGGCAGCTGGCCAGGGTCTGTGGCCATGGCAGACCGACCCGTGCAGGGCCGACGTGGTGCAGGCTTGCTAATTCTTTACCGTACCTGGCCGTTACGGACGAGGAGAAGTAATTGTTAGATGTGGGCGTGGTTATCGTGCCGGTTGCGTGCATTGTGGACCCCTTGTGCCCAAGGGGCGGCCGTCTTGCAGAACCCCGTGCGTCGTGGAACCCATCGTATCGTGCGACCTCCTGCTTTCCGCTGGCCAACGGAGACCCCAACGACACGCCATCGTCGTGGCTTTGGGATCTTCGTGCAAGACACTGTATTATCTTTCCATGTCCTCCAGGATCCCGCTCTGGCCACGCGGCGCTCGGAGCGTCGCGGGATCTGGAGCAGGGGGCCCAGACGATGTGCGCAGCGTTGTCGTCAGCACTGGGCTGGACGAGCCAAGGCCAGGCCAGATTATGAGCTCTCCGGACTGTTGGGTGCCTCTGCGAGCATCATACACAGTATCATTGTGTGAGCACTTCCGCATCACCCTCCTCCCTGCCTCACCCACTCCGATGCACTCTCTGCGTCTCGAAAGTGGACGCGCCGCGGCTGCTGCAGGAAGCGCGGCAACGCGTGAGAGCAAAAGGAGCGCGGCCTCAACATCAGTTGGATAGATCGGCTATTGTTCGCTATTTGTTTTACTCCATTGCCTTGTGGCTGGCACACGGACGCGCGACTGAGCTGGACATCTGCCACACCAGACATGCTGCATTCGAGTGTCTGCACAAGCGCATGGAGAAGTGGGTGCAATAGATGCTAGCACTTGTTGCCTCCACCTCCCTGTAGAGCAGGCGTGTGCGCGCATCTGATGCATGCATCCCGTGTCTTTCACTTTCATTGCGTGTTTCGGCTGGGTGACGTGTGCTAGAGGAGGGAGGAGGAGGAGGAGGAGGAGGAGGAGGAGGAGGAGGAGGAGGAGGAGGAGGAGGAGGAGGAGGAGGAGGAGGGGGAGGGAGAGGAGGAAGAGGAGGAAGGAGGAGGAGGAGGAGAGTGCGGAGAGACGCTGTGTTTAGCGCGAAACGTCAGAAACGCCAGGAGAGTGCGGAGCTACGTACACCAGCGAAGAAGCGGGAGGAGAGGGAGGGGGGAGCAGGCATGAGTCACGCATGCGCGAGCGAGCGCGCTACCTAACCCAACGGACGAGGGTCGCGGGCCTCTCCGTCTCCCTGCCTCGGTGGAGGGGGGGGGCTGTCACGAGCCGGGGGCCCGACCTCTGACGCCAGCCCCGCTGGAATGCGCTCTGCTCCGGCGCCCTCGAGCCCAGCATTCATTTGGATTTTGGGCCCGCGGGCCCCATGGCCGAAATTGCATCGCCAAGGGCCCAAACCTCAGAGAATGCGGTCGGGAACTTGTGGATAGCGTGAAGTCGGGCGTGTCCCTCCACAGGAGAATTATTCAACAAAAACTGTAGAGAAATAGTCTGAGGACGATTTTGTCTGTCATGTTTTGACTCTGTTCGGGTATTTTTCATTTTTCATTTTTGGGGGGTATTTTTCATTTTTCATTTTTCATCCAATATTTTTGGGGTATTTTTCATTTTTGGGGGGTATTTTTCATTTGTCATCCACTATGCGCCTGTAGGGGGGACACGCCCGACCTGATGATAGCGTGTCTCTGCGCTGGTCCTGGCCCACCGCGCCTCGGCGCGACACGCCATCCACTTCGCGGCCCCCAGGCGTCCACGTCCCAGACCTCTCCCCGCCTCCCGCACCGCGAAGCGGAGCGACATGCTGTCCGCTCGGAGAGGAACGCGTGTCGCCGGGGCCGCCGCGGCGACACGCTATGCTCGGTATCGTTTAACCGATCCCCATCCCCATCTCCATCCCCTTCGAGACCCCCACCAAATTACCACCCCGGTTGGGGATGCACCCCTCGAAACCCGAAGAGAACGACCTATATCCCCATCTAGGGGGGTAAATCGCCCAGCGGGGCCCAGGCCACGCCGCTGGGGATGGGCATCGGTTAAGCGATACTCAGATGCAACAGCTCCTAAGCATATTCGGCCATCCTGCTTCTCTCAGGGCCGCCGGAGGTCCAGGGGGCCCCACGGGCTGCCAGAAATCGGCTGCGCGTGAGAGTGACCCGTCGCCAGAGTGACCCTTGGTACGGCCCCACATGCAGGGGTCTCCCCGGCACTTGCCTCCCCGCGGTCACCGGAAGCCGCGCACGAAAGGTCGCCCTTGCCCTGGGTCACGTCCTGCGCGTAGCCGTAGCCGAAGCAGGAGCTGCGCTGGGCCTCGGGCGGAGAGTGCTGGGCGGCCGCTCACCGTGGAGGCCGTTGGGGCCGCCATCCCCCAGGGGGGGGGGGGGCCCGAGGTCCGTCCGCGCCGGCTCGACGTGGAGCCGGCTGGGGGCCCGAGGTGGCCCGGCCTCGCAATCAGGGCGCCGACAAAAGGGCCACAGTGGGGTTCTGGAGGGCCAGAAATGTTCGGGCAGTTCCTTCGATCCAGATCGTGGAGCTTAATTACTTACGGCTGATGCTCGCCGTGGCCCCTGAAAAGCCCCTTTGTTCCTTATCTAGCGTTCCTTCTGGTAGCACGGTGATTGTAGTTCTGGGGGGCAGGAAGGGGGGGCAGGTCCGAGGTTCTGGGTTCGAAAAGGTTTTCGGGCTCTTCGGCCTCCTTGGGCCGTTTCCGGGCCCTGAAACCGTCAGAAACGAATCAGGGCTGAAAGCGGCTTTAGATGAACCCCATGAGGGGTCTGGGGATCGATGTTGAGCGGATTTGGCCCGATCCCCCCTCCTGACCGGCTTTCTCGTGGGTCCTAGGGTACCAGTTCAGACCCCTCAGCGGCCTCCACTGCTCGACGATTCCGTGGTGAAACGATCACGAAGGGGGGAGGACAATAATAGTTTTTTGTTTGTTTCTCTGTGTGCTCGCCTGCCCTCAGATCGGGACCACAGCAATGGGTATTAAAAATGGGCACAAGGACCGACAGAACTTCCTGCGCATTTTGAGTTGGACTCCGTGTCGGTGTTGCCGCGGACGGACGCTGTCCATTTGAGACATAAGGCCGCCTGCCCAACAGCGGCCGCTGCCGGTCTTGGAGAACAGTTGTTGTTGTTGGGCATCGTACCCATTTTTACCCGTACCCATGTCGAGCTTCCAAATCAGAACACTGACGGGCTGGGGAGCTCCTACACTTCACCAGCGAACCTCCCATACTCAATCACGTGCCTCACCACTGCTCGGACCACTCGACTCCTTCCGCACTCTCCGTGCCCCTGGCCACATTTTGAATGCCCCCGCCTCTTCTCGCACGCGTGGGTAAGGCAAAGCCCACCATTCCTCCTCCTCCTCCCAGCTTTCGGTCGTCACGAAAAATACGAGACGACAGTCTTTTAGCAATATAGGCCTCCAGAGGCCCTTTTCCGGGTCCCTGGATGCGTGCATGTGTGTAGTCACGTGTGCACCTCGCCAAGTTGTGAATGTGTACGCGTGCGTGCGCACAGACATACGATGGCCTGCCGCCTACAAGGAGCCACACAGCCCTCCCGCGCTGTTTGTTTTCCCGTCTTTTGTGCTGGAGGCGCCGCCGCCCGCGTGCGCCGCGGTCTCTCTCTCTCTCTCTCTCTCTCACTTTCTTTTTCTCTCTTTCTCCCTCTCTCTCCCTCTCTCTCTCGCCCTCTCTCGCCCTCTCTCGCCCTCTCTCGCCCTCTCTCGCCCTCTCGCCTTTTTTTTTTTTTCTCTCTCTCTCTCTCTCTCTTTTTTTGTTCTCCCTCTCTCTCTCTCTTTCGCTCTCATTGTTTCTATCATTTCTCTCTCTGTCTCTCTTTGTCTGTTTGTCTGTCTGTCTGCCTGCCTCTCTCTCTATGTAGATGTACACACAAATATATGTGTAGGTTTCCGCTCTTTCGCCCCATCTCGCCGGCCGTTGCCTGCCTCCCCCCTCCCCCATCTCATCGCCCGTCGCACCTCCCTGCGGACTAGCGTTGAGGCCCCCGCCAGGGGCGGCGGTCTCTGGCCAGAGATCGCCGCACAGGTTTCATGCTCAGTCGGCACGCGTCGCATACTGGGTCAGCAAACCAGCGTCGTACGGTAGGTTCGTGTCGTGTCGACCGGCGGCGACCCCGCCGCTGGCGTTCAACCTTGAACGCCACCAGCGGCCCATCATCGGTCGACGATGTTGAACGATCTTACGTTTAGGAATTGGCTGATCGTTTCAGGTTGAACGATCCCCGCGGTGTCAGAGACCAACGCCGAGGTCGTCAAGACACGCACCTGCCGTATGTTGGGTCGGCACACCAGACCCGACCCGTTATGCGGCGCGTGAAAGCGCGCTGCGTCTGCCCCCCATCCTTTCCTCCCCCCTTTTTCGTCGTGCACGTGCACGTGTCTCGCCCCTCCTTGCACGCTGGCCAATTCGCTAGTCAGTGCCCCTACCTAGCTGTTACGCTGGTGCGGATTTCGCCGCCTCGCCGCTGACGAAAAAAAAAGAGTGTGGCGTGCCATCTTGTGCCTGTGATTTCCTGCTGTGCTCGCTTCTGCGTGCTTCCAGAGTGGGCTCTGGAGCTCGACAGCCCTGGACAACGCCCCGCTGCAGCTCATTTATCGCGCCCCGTGATGGTGCAGCCGCGCCTGTTCGATCGCATGAGTGGACCAAATGTGCATGCGTGCACGATTACAGAATTGATGTCGTTCGGACACGGAGTCGTCTTCCAGACAGTTTCAGGCAGTGCGGCCCAATGTGCATGCGTGCGTGCTTGTGCGGGGCCCTAAGCGGTCTCTGAGGGCCCGGGCTTTTCTAGTCGCGCGCGCGTTCGCTGCTTTACGACCTTCTCCGCCCTGTCGCCGCGCGCGGGGCCGCGACGCCAAAAAGGCGTGCGTGCATGCGCGCAGCTGGTCGTCCACGCAGATGCTGTGGCCTCCTCGCCGCGCCAAGCGCAGCCCGCGAGCCGCGCGGCGGGCGCGGCCGCCGCCGTGCTCTTTCGCGCAGCACCCTCGGAGAGGAGGGCCGCCGCTCGGGCCCGGGCCGCGGCGCGGGACGAGGATCGAGGCGCCGTCAGACAGCTCCCAGGACCGACGGGCCGACGACGACGACGACGCCGTGGCCTGCTCACGGCTCCGAGCGCCGGGGCGCCAGTCGCGCGCCCCCCTCCGAGCGGCGGAGAGCCTCGCGGGCGCTGCCGCGCACCTGCCGGCCGTGCCGGCGGCGCCTCGGCCGCCGGCCGCGGCGGCCCTGCCCCGCGGCCTCTGGAGCGCGCCGGCGCAGGCAGAGGCGCTCCGGCGCCCCCCGCCTACCCCGCCTGGGCTCTCAGATCCGTGGGCAAGGATAGGGGGGGATGCAGGCGAGACTGGTTCGTAATTAGGTCGACCCTGACAAATCAAGGGTGCCCTTGTGTCCTGAGTTTCGCGACCCATGCCTTCCTACATTCCCATGGCAATGTGGCCCTCGGAAGGGTCTTGTGTCCTCTCGCGTGTCCTCTCCAATCAACCTCGACTGTAGGCATAGGGGGAGACGCATCGGCCCCCAATAGCCCAGTGGTCGCCGATAGGGGCCTGACAGCCCCACCCCGCCCTGGAGCGTGCGGAGTCGGAATCGGGGGCCGATCGCCGATCTTTCGGCGATGCATCGCCGATTCCGGG